GGAGCCGCCCGCCCCCGCCGCACACGGCGCTGCCGCCGGCCCAGCCACACGCGCACCCCCCCACTCGGACGTGCCCCCAAAAGAAGGGCGCGGGTCGCCGAGTTCCCACCCTGATCAGCGAGCGCTGCGTGCAGGCACCCCTAGGCCGCAGCGGGGAAACTGAGTCATGAGCGGCTCGCAGGCCCCTACCGCGCACACCCCTTGGTCTCGAGCTGGGGCCGCGGCGCCGACACCATCCCCACCGGGAAGTTTTCAGGGAACAGCCCACAGCTGGGACTCCCCAGGCAGGGGCTCCTTGAAGGCGCCTCTCTGCAAGACAGGCTCGCCTGTCCTGCTAGTAAGACGGCAACACGGCCCTAGCCCTCCCCAGGGTGCGCTGAAGCCAACAGGGCTACTAGCAGGGAAGGGGGAAGGTCCTTGCAGCTGCCTCTGCTCAACGGGTGGACACCAACCCATAGCACACACTTCAGGCTAGAGGTTCCTGATCGCTCCTGTGGCCACAATACTGAAGAGCCCCCAACGGACAAGACTGCAGCGGGGATGAGAAGCCCTACTTCTTGGGGAGGGCAGGAAAGTGACCGACTCTGGGAACGTGCAACCATAGCAACCCCTACCAGGGCCACTCATAACCGTGATGCAGCTGGGCCTCAGGATAGTCACAGCAGCTAGAAATAGCATCCTGCCCTGTCCTGAACGGAGGATCTCTGGCCATTGGAATTGGGAAGCTGGTTGGATGGTTGAGGTAACTTCAGGGCCTGACCCCAGCTCCTACTGGGTCAGGCACGAGCATCCCTACCAGGTGGGCTGTTCCTCAACCTCTATAAACGGCATACATATCAAGCTGGGGGAGGAGCCCTGGACTGCAAGCCTGCCTTGCACAGGAAGCACAGTATGTGGAGGGGCAGTTGTGGAGCCAAGGTCTTCCACCTGGACACACCATGGGCTGACTCTGCTCACCAGAGAGAACACCTGAACAGCAAGTGCCAAAGACTAACCCTAAGATGAGCCCCCTCCTCAGGCCAGGAAAGTTCTGTCCCCTCTCCTCACGCTGGAGCTCTTTGGCTGTCTTCTGCCCAATGGGAGAGGCAGAGACCTCTGGGTGGGGAATGAGGAATGGGGCAGCTCCCCCAGGTCAGGGCCACCTTACACATCTCAGAACCCCAAATCCTCAACACAATTCAAACTGACAGGATGCTGAGATTTGGGGAGTGGGCACACCTGGGGAGGATTCACATCAGAACGACCTCAGGTATCAGGCCCCCTCCAGCCTCTTATCCTCAGGCCAGCATGGACCTCACTGAATGTAAAGGCTCTGAGGCTGCAGCTGGGCCATAATTGACCCTTACCCTGGCCTGAGGCCTCAGGATGGTAACCCAAAACCAGAAGGGAGGGGTGTGGCCAGGAGTAACATTTCCAGCCCACATCCAGACCAAGGACATGTTTTAGTTGATTTAAGAAAAGTCATCTTCATGGCCAACAAGGACATGAAAAGATACTCGACATCACTAATTGTTAGAGAAATACAAATCAAAACTAAAAGATATTACATCATACCAGTCAGAATGGCCATTAATAAAAGTACACAAACGATAAATGTTGGAGAGGGTGTGGAGAAAAAGGAATTCTACACTGTTGGTGGGAATGTAACCTGGTGCAGCCACTATGGAGGATAGTATGGAGGTTCCTTAAAAAACGCAAAATAAACTTACCATATGATCCAGTAATCCCAGTCCTGGGCACATATCCGGAGGAAAATATAATTCAAAGACACATGCACCCCAATATTCACAGAAGCACTATTTACAAGAGTCAAGACATGGAAACCACCCAAATGTCCACTGACAGCTGACTGGATGGATATGGTATACATATACTACGGAATACTATTCAGCCATAAAAAGAATAAAATAATGCATTTGCAGTAACATAGATGGACCTGGAGATCGTCATTCTAAGTGAAGTAAACCAGAAAGAAAAAGAAAAATACCATATGATATCGCTTATATGTGAAATCTAAAAAAGACACAAATGAATTTATCTGCAAAACAGAAACAAATTCACAGACATAGAACAAATTTATGGTTACCAGGGGGTAAAGGGGGTGGGAAGGGATAAATTGGGAATTCGAAATTTGCACCTTCGGGGAGTGATGGAAATGTGAGCTATATTGATTGTGGTGGTGGTTTCACTGGTATACGTGCATCTATCAAAATTCATCTATCGTACATCTGAAATATGTGTACTTTACTGTATAGGAATCATACTATAATAAAGGTGTTAAAAAGAAAAAAAAATCATCTTCAGAAAGTAGGACCCAAGATGGAAAAGACACAAGTGAAGTTTAATCAGGAAACCCAATCTCTTTTGTCTTCTGTAAGGGGCACAGCCCTGGACCTGTCTTCAGATGGGGGGAAGGGGAAGGGCACAATGGTCCAGCCACTTCTTGTCCCCACCCCCTGCCTTTGGCCCAAAGCTCTGCCTTCTTACCCCCTTCACATATACTGGCCACCTGGGACCAGGAAGGAGGAGTAGAGCCCTGAGAATTCTGCTCTGGGGTCACTGGCTTTTTCACCCATGCCCCACAGTCCCTCTAATACAAGAAGCCCACAAAGGAGGGCAATGCCCGGCATCTGCAGTGGGACAGGACACAGGGTTCTGGGTCCCGAGGACCCAGTCTTGCTGCTCCGGCAGAGGCATGGCAGGGAGAAGACTGTCCTCAGAAGGAAAGCTGAGACAGAAAGAAGCCCCCCACTCCCCACCCCAAGCAGGTGGCCCCACACCAGCACCCTGTGGGCCCTGATATCAGACCAGGGGGTCCTGGGGACTCAACGGCTCTTCACCAGGACCCTGTAGAGTGAGAAGCTGAGGACTGCAGCGACGGCGGCCCCAGCTGTCCCCAGTGCCACCCGGAGCCAGAAGGAGGTAGTATGTCGCTCCCCATGAACAAGGTGTCTGTAGGAGAGAGGTGACCCTTGCTGCTGTACCCTCCATCTCCGTCTCCTAGAAACCCATGCAGCCCCACTTTACTGCTCCTTGTCAGCGCCCAGCAAAGCAAGACCCCCAGACAGAGCAGCCTGTGAGACCAGGCTCTGAGTGCCCTTTTTGCACATCAGCACTGGCACCAAGGCCCACCCAGCAACTCTAACCGACTCCAGTCCTGACACCAGAGCTGTCCCACCCTCCCAGTGACAGGGACCATGGGTACCCTGGGGCAGGGACAGGTCTCCCACATGAGGACTGTGCTGCTGATACCCACGGGAAGGTGGCCATGGTGGCGAGCCGGGTAAAGATGGTGGTGTCTGGCATGGCTGGGCCAGCACAGGAGAACGGGGTCGGGGCAGATAGCCGATGCCTGCGGCAAAACTCGGTTGGGGACAGGCCAGGTGACGAGATGCCTCCGGGCAGGTCAGCCTTGGAAGAGACGAAGAGGCAAGGGGTCTGTCCATCCATGTAGTGGCGCTGCAGTGGGGGAGGGGTGTGTAAGCACACTGGTGGACCCCTGCCTGTGCCACCTGGCAGGGCCTCCGGGGCTAATGGAAACTTGCCTTGTAGACACTGGCGCACAGTGTGAAGGACGCAGGGTCACTGCCATCAAACATCAAGCAGGCAACATCACACGTAGCATCAGCTGCGACGGTCAGCAAGCTGTCTGCACCCACCTCGCATAGCTGAACAGAGGGTGGCCTCAGAAGGGCACAGGGCTTGGTTCCCCAGGGCCACCTCGGGACAGCTCCCCCAGTATGCACAGCCCAGGTCCAATGGGGATCCCACACTCACTATCAGGTACTTTTCCTGCCCGTTGACCTGAACTGTGTCAATGGCATAAGTGGAGGACTCCTCAGAGGGATCCTGGGCACCCTGGTGCTGAGGAGGAAGACACCTGAAGCTCGCTGCCCTGACTCCCCCCAGGACCCGTCCCCACCCCGGGCCCCTTGCCATACAGTGGACGCTCACCCCCAGGCCACGGCCAAGGAAGGCCTGCAGGAAGGAGGACTTGCCCACTCCACGGGCCCCCACCACCTTGCACAGGAGCACACTCCTCTGTGTCTGCCCCTTCTCCTGGTCCAGCCTCTTCTCCCGGGTGACTGTGGGCAGGGGGCAAGGATGAGTGAGAGGGAGAGGCTGCTGGGGAGGTACCAGGCGGGAGGCTGGTATGAAAGCAAGCACCCACCTGTAATGGCATGAGCCTGAGAGTCCTGCTCATAGAGAGTGGGGTAGCCCAGGTAGCCAAGGTGCTCGAGACAGCACCGGACATCTAGGTAGGTCACCAGGCTGGAGACAAAAGAGGTGGAGATGTGTCACTGTGGGGCAGAAGGCGTGGGGGTGTTTCGACAGGTGAGGGCTGCACTTACGTCCACTGGCAGAGGTACCCGTGCAAGGGCAGCCAACCGGCCTCGGTGCGGACTGTGCGGGAGAGCTGGGGGCCCCAGGGAGCAGCTGGAAACACGCTGAAGAGGCTCTGTAGCTCCGCTGGTGAGAGGGCACCATCCCGGTCCTGTGGGCAGAGGGGCTTGGTGACACGGGCAACAGGCCAAGTGGGGGTTTAGGGGGGCCCAGTGCCCTCACCTGGTCATGCTTCTCAAACACTCTCTGCACAAACTGGTAGCCACGGTGGTTGAGCTCAGCGCTGCAGCCAGGGGGCACGCGGAGCCTGCAGGGTGCCAGGGAAGCTGAGCTTGGCAAGCCTCCCACTTGTGGACTTTCCGCCCTGCTGGCTGCTGCTCCCCACCCTCAGCAGAGCAGGCAGGCAGGCAGTTGGGGCTGGGGTGTCTCCCAGAGTGTGTGTCCCAACTGGGCCCCCCCCCAGTGCAGGGCACCTCCTTCCTCCACAGGCCACCAGGCAGGCAGCCCTGTCCCACCTAGTGCTCAGCCCACAATAAGGGCTCCAACCTCCTCCAAAGACAAGCGTCCCGAGGGGCCCCAGCACAGGGTCCAGAAGCCTCCAGGCCCCATTTGACACAGAGCAGAGGCAAGCCCTGAGGCCAAACACCACTCACGGTGGGAAGAGGTAGTCGGCCGTCAGCTCAAGCGAGTCGCCGTACCCAAAGCGCCTCAAGATGGTCCACGTGGTCTCATGGCGGCCTCGCTGGATGAACAGCATGTTCAAGAACAGGAAGCCTGCTCAGGAGGGGCAGAGGAGCAAGTAGCACTGGGCACAGCCCTGCCTCTCCCCACACCCGAGGACAGGCAGGACATAGAGCCTCACCATCCAGGGTGAGCCGGTCGTCCCGCACGCCTCCCGCCACGTTCCTGCTCACCACCATCTTCACATCCTCCAGGGCCTGTGGGGCCAGGGGGTGCCCGAAACAGGATTTCTGCCTCCGAGAGAAAGCAGCTGTTGGTCAGCCAGCTGCCCTGAGATCACATGGCCTGTCACCAGGGCAGCCGAGGCGTGGAGGGCAGATGGAGCTGAAGGGATGACAGAGATGAAGGAGACAGAGGGAGCTGCACCTGGAAAGCGTTGAGCTCCTGGTCATTGAGCGCTTGGTCCATGTCCTGGTCTGAGAGCCTGAAGATGCGCGTGAGGGCCTGGGTACACGCGGGCCTCAGCTGTGGGGACAGCCGGCTCAGCATGCCCCCACTGCTCCCATCCACTTGCCCTCCCTGCTGGTACACAATGCCCACCTGCTTGGCCTCAGGGTCATAGAGGGGGGCTGTAGGGTGCAGCACGGCCTTCTGTGCGTAGTAGAACAGCTCCGAGATGTTCTTCAGGTTCTTGGCTGAGCACTGGGACACATTGGAACAGACTCAAGAGAGGTGAGGCAGGAAGGCCCCCTGCCCTGTCTCCACAGTCCTGGCACCCCCACCGCCCAGCATGCTCACCTCCACACAGGTCTCGATCTCGGGGAACTGGCTCATGATAGGCAGCACGGCCTCCATGGAGCCCCCCGGCCGCAGGTCTGACTTGTTGCCCACCAGGATGATGGGGACCCTGGGGGAGAGGCCTATGGTCACCAGGAATCAAGAAGCTGGTGGGGCCTAACCCTCCTCCCCTGGCCCCCCTACTACCTGGGCTCCCTCTTGCCCCCATTCACCAGTGGGATCCATTTGGTTCGAATCTGAAAAGCAAGGCCATGCCATGAGGATAGAAGCTTGCCTAGCACACAACTCCCATGTGGAACTCATCTGATCCCAGCAGTTCCCCAAACACCCATAAGGGGCCTGGAGTCAGCAACCACTTCCCCAGGCCCAAAAGGTTCAGACACATGGCTGTCCACACTCTTTGGATCATGGGGCTCCCTGGGGAAGCTGTGGGGGTCCTGGCCAGGGAGGCTCTGGGAGGCTCCCCCAAAGCACTTGTTAGAGATGGGACTGGCCATGGGTGCAAGCCGCACAAGGCCTGGGTCAGCTGAGCATCCACCTAGGGTGTGTGTGAACAGGCCAGTGGTTGGGTGCAAGTGGCAGGAATCTGGGATAGTTAAAGAGCTCTCTTGCTCACCTTCTCAATGGTGGCCTCCTCAGACACGTCATACACCACACACACCACGTTCGCCTTTGGTAGGGAAGGGAAGCACAGTGTTACCTAAAGCTTCCTGCTTCATTCACACACTGCACAGGTTGTTGCGGGAAGCCCGCTCCTCCAGCCAGTACTCCTTGGCCAAGTCACGCTGGGACTGGCAATTGGCCACTCACACCTCTGGCGAGCCCTTCCTTGACCTGTGCCCACTGCAGATGCCAAGCCCCAGGACTGCAGTTCTGGTCAGTGAGTCCCAAGGGCTCAAGACAGGCACAACCACCCTGATACCTGGCACCCCAGCCCCAGTCTCAGCCCTTTGCTTTCTGGTCACTACAGGCAAAGAATATGATAAGGACTACAGTACAAGAAGGGTGACAGAAAGACAGCTGCAGCCCATACCCTTGCCCAGTGGCATTCCCATGACACAGCAGAGGTTCCAGGGGCCATGCCACCAACCCCCAGGAGCCCGTTTCAGGCACAGGTTCTCCTAATAACAAGAAAAGAGAAGGCTGTGTAGCCCACAGCCCCGGTCAAGACATCTACTGTGGCCCAGGGTCTCAGGGTGTGGACCGGACTATGGGGTGGGAATCAGGTAGCTGGGCACAGAGCTGTTTAAGGGATAACTTTTGAAGACTTGAAAGCTGTTCCCCAGGGTCCACTGAAGAGGGAAGGCTGGGCCTGGAGAGCCATGGGGCTGGCCAGCCATGTGTGCAGAAGGAAGATAGGTCCCTCTCCTTTCCAGCTCCCAGCAGAGTGCATCACAGAGACTCCAATAACACTCGGTGCTGACAGGTCACAGCAGGATTAATGAGGCTGTGCACACCCTGAACACTTTAATCCAATCCATCAGAGAGAAGCCAATCAAGCCCAGGCAGCACCACTCCCTGGCCTGAGCCCTGACACTCGTGCCCAGCACCTCCTTCCCAAACCCTTAGGACACACTGTACCTTGTGAATCTCCTCCTCGAGCTCCTCGGCTGTCTGTTCAATTTCTAGATGGAAAAAGAGACCTCACTGCAGATGCCAGAAACACCCGCTCCTGGGCGGAACCCTGAACAGCACTATGGGCGGGCAACCGGCTTTACCTGAATAATCCACGATGTGCGTGGGCACCTTCTCTGGGGTGACGTCTGCGGGAATGGTGATCTCTTCTGCCCGGGGCGGGACCTGGGGCAGACAAAGCCGTGAGAGCAGCCGGGAGGGACTGAGGGCGGCGGTGCCCGGGCCTCGGCCCAACCTGGGCACTGGGGC